GACGACGACGACGATGATGATGACAGTAGTTTTAAAGAAACGCCACACATCAAGGATTTGAATTCCATTCTGAATTGGAACGAGAAACATCTGCAACAAGATCAACAACAAAAACATCATCAACAACAACAACAACATCAACATCTGCAACAACAACAACTGCAACAACAACAACATTTAGTTTGGCAGAGTTTAAAGAGCATTGAAGAGACCGCGGCCTTACTAATGCACTGGAGATCATCAACACTGTTTGAGTATTACCTGAAGATACTAAACATCGATCCCAATGTTAAGGTAGCAGTCGTGACGATGTTGCTGTTGTTGCTGCTGTTGTTGTCGCTTCTACCGCCGCTGCTGCTGATGATGAGTAGGATGATGATGGTGATGATGGTGATGATGAGAATGATGATGATGAGGATAAAGATGGGGATGATAAAGTAATAATAATGTCATTAATTCCTCCACTATAAATACAGAATGCCTCCCTGCCAGTTTTCGCTAAGAACTTGAGCCTGCTACAGCCACAGATACTATCAGACGATCAAAAGACACTAACAACAATCAAGAACAGCAACAACAACAACATTGATAATAATAATAATAATAATAATATGAATAATAATAATAATATGAATAATAATAATAATAATAACAGTAGCAACAATAACAACAACAACGGAGCCAATGGTATGAATTCAAGTCAGACATTCTCTTACAGATATGATGACGCCAAAAGCGTAAGTGCTCCCCACATCTTTATTATTATTATTATTATTATTATTTTTCTTATTATTATTTATGTTACTCTTTTTATGAGTATTATTTTTTGTAGGAAATTCACCAGGTTGATTTTGACTGGAAGAGCAGCGTGCTGTCAAACCCACTTGAGTGTAAGTTCCGTGTATATTATACATCATTGTGTACATCATTGTGTACATCATTGTACACACACACACACACACACACACACACACACACACACACACACACACACACACATACATACACACACACACACACACATACATACACACACATACACACACACACATACACATACATATACATGTTGGAAGGAGGCCATATTGTACGAACTCTAGAGCTCTACCGAATCGTTTTCGTTTATCAATTTTGACTCCTCAATGAAGGAATATTCTTTTGGTTTTACATACATACAAACAAACAAACAAACAAACAAACAAACAAACAAACAAACATACATACATACATACATATATACAAGCTTTACAAGACAAACTTTTAATTGATTAATATATATATATAATAACTATATAGTTTACATCATTGTTACTGATTTTAATACAATTTATAATAGTTGGACTGTTAGATCTTGACTTCTTCACAATGAAGAAACATTCTTTTGATGTTTCTCAAGGTAGTATTGTGTACACATTAGTACGTGCGTACACTCATACATACATACATACACACATGCAAGCGTACAAACAAACATACATACATACATACATACATACATACATACATACATACATACAAACATACATACATACATACGTATGTTGGTACGTATGTTTTCAATTCTTTGAGTTTATATGATTGAGTTCAAGGGTGATTGATAACAAAAAGTTTAATTTCAGAAGTAATGTTTTTAATTTTGGTTGTGATTTTCATTTTTTTTTATTCGGGGTTCTATGTGTGATTATGTTTATTGTGCTCTGTAGACATAACACTGATTGTAGTACTAACATCTCCTCTTTTAGTTTCATTCCTTTGTTCATTAGATCCATTTGTTTTTTTTCTCCCATTAGTATTTTTTGTTAATTAATGAATGAATTAATTTATTAATTTATTCATTTATCCTTTCATTCCATCAATCTCTCGTTCATTTATTCATTTTACGCATACAGCCAGCAAAAAAGACCAGGAGTTGTTAGACTCGTTGGAATCTCCATCTGTCAATCAACCGTTCAGACCACACCCACTTCTGGCTAGCATCATAATCAACAACAACAACAACATAATTAACAACAGCAACAATAATAATAATAATACTTCAACTACTGCAACTAATTATACTTATAATAATAATAATAATTATTATTATAATAATTACGTAAATAGTAATAACAAGAACGACACAGATCTAATTAATGATAACAATAACATCCACACTCATTGCGCAACAACAACAAATAATAATAATAATAATAATAATAATAATAATATTACTCTGAATCAGTACAGTAACAATGGTATAAGTATCAATACAATCAATAATAGAAATAATAATAATAATGATAATGGTGTCCTAAATAATGATGATAATAATGATAATAATAACGATAATAATAATAATAGATTGGAGATTATCTTGAACAAGTTGCCGGATCTTAAATTCATGAAATCTAAAGTCTTAATGTTTCCATTGTTCATAGAGAACTAATTATTTTTATTGTTATTATTATTGTTTTATTATTATTATTGTTATTGTTATTATTATTATTATTACTATCGTTAC